TCCACCCTCTCAGACATGGGGGAGTGAGACGCCGGCTCGTCCTCCACCCTCTTAGAAACGGGGGCGTGAGACACTGGCCGAACCGGGTTTCTCTTAGCATTTGCTCCACGTGCACCTCTTCCCCGGCCTTTTCCTCTCCCTCGATGAGCCTGAGGATGAGAGGAAGGCGGAGGATCGGCGATAAAAGTGCTAAGCAAAGATCTCGCTATGGGGAGCCCGGGCTTTTTCCTTTGCGGGCCCACCATGCTTCACTCACCTGCTATGACAAAAAGTAAAGCAATTAGTACAAATACAAGATTATAGTTTAAATAAATAAGCATAAGTTCAAACAATTGTCGCAATGAGAATTACCAATGCAATTGTAGTACAAATACATTATAGTTCAAACAAATAAGCATAAGTTCAAACAATTGTCGCAATGAGAATTACCAATGCAATTGTAGTACAAATACATTATAGTTCAAACAAATAAGCATAAGTTCAAAAAACATACGCAATAAGAATTACCAGGCAATTATAGTACAAAAACTACATTATACTTCAAATAGATAAGCATAAGTTCAAAAATATTACAAATTCAACATTACAACATGTTTGAGATCATCTGGGTCATGGTAAAGCAACTAGTACAAAATCAACATTACAGTTCAACACTACGACTAAAAATAGTCGGGATCATCTAGATCACAATCCGTCTCTTCTTCAAGGTCAGTTCTAGCCTCATCATCAGTATCATACGTGTCGTCAAGGATGTTGTCCTCATGTTGACCGTCATCGTCACCTTCATCGGCAATTCCTAGACGTAACCGTTCAAGCATTGAGAGGTCTTCCACGTTCGTAACCTCTTCTTCTTCCTCTTCGACTTCTTCTTCACTGTCAATGTGTACTTCCATGCGTGGATGGATGTTGAGACGGCCTCTAGGCCCATGTTCTTCTTGGAAGAATTCTCCATCATATGTGTCAGGGTCTATGTGAGGTTGATAATCCTCTTCACTGGGGGAAGGATGTTTATGATGTGGCGGCACATCGTACTCGACATCCCAACCCTTAAGGTACTTCTTTTGGCATGCATACTTGAGATAAAAAACTTGTGTCACCTGTTGAGCCACAATATAGACATCTTCACATTCTAATTTGCTGTCTTGTCAAATTTCGACTTGCCCAATAGCATCCCTCCGCCTAACCTTCTCCGGATCAAACAAATGGCATTTGAAGACAACGACTTTCAGAGGATTTGCCCCAAAGTAATGTAGTTTCATATATTTCATCAAGTCTTCCATAATACTCAACTCCATTGCAAATAGTCGACACTCCCGTGTTCCTTGATTTTAGAACGTCCCGACGTTCCTCATTCCCATGTGTGCGGAAGCGATACCCATTGATGTCGTATTTATCAAATGTACCGACCTTATAGTCAAACCCATTAGCAACTTGTTTCAACTCTTTGTCCAATATCGACGTACCCTACAAGTTTAAGAGAAAAGGATAGGTGTATTAGTCGCACGTAATACCAACTTCAAGTGTTCCAAGAAGTATACCTTACCTTTTCTCTGAACCAAGAAATGAAACCATAATTGCCGTCTCCTTCACCAGCAAGAAGCTCATACTCTTCAAGTGAATCACGTTCGACCCCTCCATTCGAGAATTGGGCAATGAATTCACTGCCCAATGAGAAATGAGCGGAGTTAAGAGAGAAAGATGTGAGTAAATGTTACATAATGTACCAACACTTACTCAATGTACGGCCGCACTTCTTGAAGGTTGGTGAGGATATACAACGTAAGCGATTTCCACTCTTTCGGATCCAAATGCTTTGAACCAGAAGCACCTACAGGTCCGAGTTGCCCTTTGAAGAGGCTGAGCTTGGATTCATGTTTAGGGTCGCCAGTATTGTATCGAGACTTTGCGTTATGCAAGCTTGGAATATTGGCCGCATAGCATGATGTCGTGAAGTTTGTAATCTCCTCTGCCAAGAATGCCTCGGCTATGGAGGCTTCAATTCTACATTTATTTCTACATTTAGCTCGAAGAGTCTTCTGCATTCTCTCAAGTCCATAGCACCAATGATTCTGCACAGGGCCACCCATTCTTGCCTCGGAAGGGAGGTGTAAAATCATATGTTCCATCGGATTAAAGAACCCTGGTGGAAAGATCTTCTCTAGCTTGTAGAGCAACTCGGGGGCCCATTCTTCCATCTCATCTATAACAGTAGGAGATACTTCTTTAGCACAAAGAACACGGAAGAAATAGCTAAGCTCTGCCAATACTTCCCAATCATCCTCAGGGATATAGCCTCGAATCATCACCGACATTAACCGCTCAAGCCATATGTGCCAATCATGACTCTTCATCCCGTTGAGCTTCAATTTATCAAGATTCACTGCCCTCATAAGGTTCGCTGCATACCCATCAGGGAACAACAAAGTTTTGAACCACATGAGTATCTCCTTCTTTTGTTCCCTAGTAAGAACAAACCTCGCCTTTGGCGTCCTCCAGTTTTTCTTGCCCTCGGGTTGTCGCAAGTTTTGTTCGGGTATATGACGTAGCTTCAGTACATCAATTCTAGCCTTAGTATTATCCTTCGTCTTCTCAGCAATGTTGAACAATGTGCCAAAAATGGCCTCGGCGATATTCTTTTCAGTGTGCATTACATCAATATTATGTCGAAGCTCGAGCTGGTGGAAGTAGGGGAGATCCCATAAGCATGGCTTATGACTCCACGCGTGTTCTTCGTTATATCCCAAGAAATACCCTGGACGTTTGGGATCAGGCTGGAGAGCATTTAGTTGATCACGAATTTTTTCACCCGTCATCTCAGGTGGTGCCGAGTGTTCAACGACTTCACCTTTCATTAAGTTCTTCTTGTCTTTTCTGAATGGATGATCAAGACGCAAATGTTGTCTAT